GGCGGGCGCCATCTCCTCGTCTGACTCGGTGGACACGGGGGTCACGGCGGCGCGGCGCAGGGGCTTGGCGGGCGCCATCTCCTCGTCTGACTCGGCGGACACGGGGGTCACGGCGGCGCGGCGCTGGGGCTTGGCGGGCGCCATCTCCTCGTCTGACTCGGCGGACACGGGGGTCACGGCGGCGCGGCGCTGGGGCTGGGCGGGCGCCATCTCCTCGTCCGACTCGGCGGACGCGGGCGTGACGGCGGCGCGCTTCTCCATGGTCTCAGCGCTCTCGGCGGAGTCCATGACGGGGTCCTTGACGGGCTGCGCCTGCAGGCAGACGGCGCCCAGGACGAGCAGGAGCAGGACCTGTGGGGCGAGCAGGGCGAGTGTGTAATAGCGAGCGTCCCCATCCTGTCGAACGCTAAGAGACGCGATGCCGGACATCGACTTACAAGTTTGGCATCCATGTTGGTTGCGGGCAGGGAGGCGAGTGTTCGGGTTCGCTGCGGAGCCGCAGTTATTATAGGGGGTCCCGCCCCCGCCCCCTGCTGCCCCGCGCCCACCCTTCCGCGCCCGCGAGCGCCGCCCGCGCGGGCCGAGCAGAGGCGATAATGAGGCACGTGCTAATATGAGCTGCCCGGCGTGGCCGGCCCATGCATGACGACCCGGCCGAGGAGGATTTCGACCAAACAAAATATTGTTCTCGGCACGGGATGACATACGCGTATAAGCGTAAGAGCGAGCTCAACAAGTGCACGGTCACCGTGACATGCAACGCACCCAAGGCTCATCTTTTCACAGTAGGTGGTACTTTTGCGACATTGGCTTGGGCCAGGAAAATTAAGTTTCCCGTTTAGGACTTCCCGTCTTTCCGTTGCCGATGGCTTGGAAAATTCTTCCAAGATTCAAAAGTTGATTCAATTTACCGAAATCGACAGTGCACAGTAGTTGAGTTGAGGGACGCCGTCGGGAATGAATTTAACGAGTGCGGCACAGCTTCATACGCGTTTTAACATGGAGTACAGATAAGTTTTGAAGGAATAGCAGGCAGACACGCACCGTAACGTAACGTACGCCGTTCCTCTACCAGCACCAACATGAACAATTTGCAGTGCAATCCATATTCATGGCAAAAGCATGAAGTACTCCGCGTCCGACGTAATGTGACATCGGGGTAGAGTGCTGACCCCCTCCGCCCCCCCCCTTTTCAAATTCCTGACTGCGCGCCTGTGTGTGAGGGAGGGAGCAGAGGCTGGGCCAGGCCGGCCATCCCCCCCAAGGGGTGAGCAGCAGCCCAGCAGCCCAGCAGCCCGCTAATTAAGCGCCAGTCCGACATTCATGACGTGACACGACGAGGTTGGCCGCTGACCAGCACGATCCAGTGGGTGGTTCCGGTCGTCCCCTCGTAAGTGATGCCATGCTTTCAGTCGATCGCGTAACACGGGCAAGTGACTAAGGCTGAGTCGAGGTGGACGCGTCGGACAAGCAGAGGAGGTGCTAACACTTTTGTCACCTGCCCCCCCCCCCCTTCCCCTCTTCCCAGTCTGTCTATAAGTATGCCCCTCGACGCGAACGCGGCACTCAGTAGATGCACAACACAGCTTCCATCATGAAAGTGGTAGGTGCTCGGGCTCCGCTGAAACCTGCCCGTACCCAGTGAGTCCCACCCGTACTCCAACCTGCTCCGCCTCGCGTTGCAGGGATCCGGCCTCGTCTTGCTGCAGTTGCTCGCCGCGGTGGTGGCGGCCCCACGCCCCGAAGAGACGCCCGGGACGCAGAGTCACCTGGACGTCGTCATGGTGACCCAGAGCCCGGCCGAGGCCATCGAGGACGCCATACGCTACGACCCGGACGTGGCGGCCGCGCTCAAGAACAACGACACACAGCTGTCAGTGACATGAGAGAGGCGGGTCACAAGTCCGGCGCACTAGTGTGGCACTGCAGTTACAGCTGAAGCATCCTTGTCTGCAGGTATCTCTTGAAGAGTGTTACTTACACCAACGGCACTGCGGAGGACCTGGGACTGCCAAAGGAGGAGTTGCTTCCAGGGGGTGCTCCAGACAGGTACATTGCAGTTCAGTTTGATTCGATGGATAGAAGAAATTCCTTTTTCGCACTGAAATTACCTTTTTTTTCCTGTTATGAATGTGTAGGGTGAAGGTTGCAGACAAAATCGTGTACTCTCCCGTCGACAACGGTACAAACATAACACAAAATACTGAGAGTTCGACGGAGCAGCTGTCATCGGCTAGCGTTCACGCAACATTGCAACTTGTGCCAGTACCAATAAACTGACAACTTTCTGATCTTTTGTTTTTGGAGTTCGCTTATAGTTTTTCATCACTAATATTATAATTGGATCAAAGTACACGACTCACACATTATGTAAAATCTCTTCTTTAAAAGCCAAACAGCACACCTTAAATAACACAAAAAATCAACTGCAGAGAATGGATGAGGTAGACATGAAAACATTTGTGACGTTGTATACTATTTATTACTGTTCATTTACTTTGACCCTAATGACAACAGTGAAAAGAGAGGATGGCTATGATTGAACAATATATTAAGTACACACACTAAATTACAGCCAACAGTAACTACCAATGTTCTCATAAAAGGAAGTCAAAAATAAAAATACAGTAGATGTCCAATCTTAATCCAGACATCTAAAGAGGACGTCATGGGACTTGGAGGGTAAGAATCTGTACACAATAATTACAAATCTGTACATAATTGCGATGAAAGTAGGAATAATTCGATACATGAAAAATTATTACTAATACTTTCACACTGTAATATTAAAACTACAGTGAACAACTTTTAGATAAAAATGCAATCCATCTTTCAGTCTTCCTCATTTCTACAACAAATCCATATTTTGTAATAATAACATAAAATATGTTAAGTAAATTCTTTCTGTTCATTATATTGACTGTTTTGATTGCACCAAAAAATACACACCTAAACTTTTAAATGAACGTCTCTGATTCAATGCTGCTGATGCTTGTACTGATGAGAAGCTGCAGAGTCACAGTGTTGGCTGACATAGTCCATGATATCATTAATGGTTATTGATGCTAAGTTGTTGTTGTTCCACCAGTTCACAGCCCTCTCTGCATAACTACTCCTAAATAAATTATAGAACAAAAAGACAAAACAATTTTATTGGCAGGCTTTATGCATGTAATTCCACTGGATAATCTCAATAATTACCCAAAGCTTTTAGAGGCATCTTTTGGCAATTCATACAATGATTGTTTAGAATCCTTGTGATAATAGTATTTATGATTTGTTTTCTTACTGATGTGTCGAGCCCACGGAGCTGAAATTTGGGAACATTGATAACAACAGACACAAACAAGTCTTACCCTTCCAAATGTATTTTATTATAATATCACCATACCTTGAGTAGCGTTAAAAAAGATCAGTCCTTCAGGAACAAAGCAGGCATCATCTCTATTCAGTTCAAAGACATCCTGCCGTTTGTTGTTTTTCATTATTTTGCTTTGAAGTCTATTCACATGAAAAGGAAGTTAATTTAAAAGTTTGTAATGACCACAAGAACATAATCAGCAGTACTGAGAGATTTCCTCACCTATCATTAATTTCAAAAATATTCTCTAGCTGGAATAATTCTTTCACATGTATACGTGCAAGATCTGATCGGCTTGGCTTGCTCATGGCCTTAGCAAACATTTCACAAAGCTTCACCCTACAAAGGAAAATAACCATCAAGCAAGAGGTACACAGAAGTCAATTAGTAATACTGAGTAGATAAATGTAAAAAACAAGTTTACACTAAATTAGATGACAATATTATTATACCTTTCTGTTATGTGGAGGTGCCGGATATCAATGCCACCTAAACATACTGCATCAACAATATGAAGTGTGTAAATCCAAACTTGTCTTTGGCGTTCGCCTTTAATTTCTTTTACTATTTCACCAAGTAACAAGGTGTTGGCACTAAGTTCCAGCTTGATAGTTCCGGGTAGTTTGCTCCATCTTCTATTTTGTAAATAGAAGACTTTGTGTCTTCCACATCCTAAATGCATAATGATGATTCAACATTGTTTCAAAGAAATTATTTGCTGCTAACTAATTTCATTTTTACAGAACCTACCCAGAAAGAAAGTTAAATTATTTTCACTTTTCTGAGGATTACCAAGAACTGCACAGTGCCAGTTGTAAATTGAATCAAATGTCTCCGGCATATTTATTAGTGTCAATTCTCTTTCACGAGTGTATATAGTGTCTATAGGGATAACTTTCCCACCCTCATTCAAAATTGCTGAGACAAAGAAAAGGAAAGCTCTATCATTAAGTAAACTGAAAGACTTTGAACGTGGTTAGTATAAGAGAAAAGTACTTACGAGCACTCAATATTGCTGAAAATGCTTCATCTGCATTTAATCTTGGGGGTGCCTTCCTTGCCTCAGCAGGAACATTCCAATAGTCTAAACATTTTTTACGGAGATCACCTTGTTTGAATTCTTCCAGAGATGTATCTCTGCAGTAGGTTATGACTTTCTGCAGGGATACTATTTGATTCTTGCCAAGGCTGAAATCCAAGCAATCACCATGAAAATTTAGCGAGTACAAGAAAAATATATAGTACATCTCTATATACTGATGTTGGATAATTTATTCTTACGTTTTATTTGAACTAACAATAAAATCAAAAAATGCCTTATCTTCCTTCATTATATGCATAGGTACAATGCTGATTACATCCTTTCCAGCTCCATATCCATGTTTGCTCAATTCATTCAATCGTATGTTAATATTATACATATATTTTGTTATGTGCTGACAGTCAGGACGTTTCCATTTACAAATAATGTACCTAGAGCAAAACACCAAGCTCAAGGTCAGATAGCTTAAAACTTTTGTTGTGTTTTATAGTGGACCCTCGATAACTGTCGCGTGCAACAGAGATAGCTATAGAAAAATAAGGCATTCCATGCGGACTGGCTGCCGGCTGCGGCGGCTGGCTCGCCTGACTCGCGGCACCAGCCAACGCACAGTACCATCGATAATTGTCGCGGCGACAGTTATCGAGAGTCCACTGTAAATAGATAGATAGCACAAGAAAAGGACATTGAAAGTGCACCTTTCTGAATTTGCTGGACGGCTAGTATTAGGTTTATGAATGGAAAGTTGTTCAAATGATCGAAACATCAGGTACACAAGACCAACACTACATGGAGTAAATAAATCAAATACTTTGCAAACAAAGTGACCGCCTGTTCTCACTATAAGAAGAGCAATCAGGAATTGACAAAGGTACAGCTGTTTTGACAAAATCTCCTGAATGTTCTCTTGACCCTCAACAGAAAATCCCTGCAAAATTAAAAATAGAAAGAATTTAGAACAGGTAAAGAGTATTTTGATAAACAAATAATGACGTTAACTAGACAGTATTACATACACCATCTGCCATCATGAAATGAACACCAAGACCATCAGTATTTTGTAAGACAAACTTGCTAAACTCATCCTGATTCTTCGTATCATAAACATCTCCAGTTCCCATATCATCTCCATTTTTAACACCTTAAGAAAGAGGAAAATTAGAAAAAGGAATACTATAAACAAATAATGGGACAAATATGCTTTGTGGGGCAACACCAACCATAGTGTGGTTCAAATGATTCACAGGGACCAGCATAGAAATCTGCAAGCTTGAAGTCGTTATCACTTCTTAAAGTGAAACCAAATCCTTTAGCCTTCCACTTGTGCCTCCAAAGTACATATTCAGAGAAGCCCCCTGGCCCAGCACAAACATCAGCAAAGTATAATAATTCATTTTTCCTAACCATATTATTCTGGAAGAGATACAAATAGATTCCATTCAATTGCATTTTTTTTTCTTCAAATTTTAAATTGCATTAATTATTTTTTAAACCAAATTAACTTACACCACTTTGATCTTTTGGCTCAGAAAACATGAACCCAAAAACCCTGTCCATATTGGCCATTTTCATGGCAGCTCTGTTCAGAAATATGCCCCCATGTATAGTTTCAAATGGGTTTGATCTTTGGACAGCCCTTCTTAATTCTTGACCATCAAGGGCATCAAAGGTAGTCTGCAAAGTGAAATGTTTTGCCATTTGAGAAATTCAAGGGAGAGGAGATACAACTTTTAGAGCGGAATACTTGATTCTGTCACAGATACCGAATGAATTACCTTGTGCTTGAGCACTTCCTGAAGTACTTTAGCAGGACAGAACTCATGTTCATCATCAAGGGTTAATTTACGTCTCCCTTCAACCATAAAATCTTCTGATATATCCAATGAAGTTACATGTGTATTTTCTAACCACTCAGGGGTCTCTTCAACAACAATGACCTGCAAAACAAAAAAGGGACAAAAAGAGTGAGGTTTAATCAGAAAAGAAAGCAAGTACGTATTTACAAATGGAGCAATGAAGCACAAATGAGCCACATACCTCTTGGTCAGCTATCCACTCCAGCTTTGCTGGCTCTAGGCCTTTCATGCTAAGACCTAAACCTCTTCTACCTCTTTGCTTTGAAACTTCCACAGGCTCCACACGGCCTTGCGCCTCTTTGCCTAACCCAAGTCCTGCTTTGTATCCCATTTTAGCCTGTTTTTTTTTTTTCCAGTAAAAGTATCATACATTAATGTGTGTTCTTATACACCCTCACCATAAGAAAGTGCAAGAAAAAATGTATACCATCATTTTGGCAGCTTTAGTATCAGTATAACCCATTTCTTGCCTTGGCCGAACAAGGCAACTGCTAGATGGAACATCATCAACATCAGATAGCTGTTGATGTTCATGATCAGTATGGTCTGGATCATCGGTAGTATCATCTCCGGTGGCTGATTCCATGCTCGACATTGAATGTCGCAACCTTTTAGGAGGCGAGCCATCTTCTGACATGCTGTCAGACTGACTCCTGTTGCGTTTTTGTCTGAAACCTGCATCTGATTCGCTATCAAGTGACATGCGGATATCAGATTTGCTGGTGCTTGATACAGACTCACTGTCACTGTCACTCGAAGCTGCAAATTTCAAAGCAACAAATGATATTCAGAACATGGTGTTCAGCGAAAGAGGGTTTCAACGCCCACAGTAACAAATCAAATAAATTGGAAGACACTAAGTGAAGTAAAATTGAGCCACTCTTTTGTGAAAAATTATTTTAGACTTTAAAACTTAGATCTACAATAAATATGCATTTTCTAAAATAATGAACCAGGGAACTTGAGTGACAACATAACCTGATACGAGTATTATACTTTTATCTTTTTGAGAAACATAAGATAAATAGTTCAAAGACGTACATGAATCATTCTGACTCGAGTCTTGGCGATCCATATTACAGCCTACTAATTACATTTACAACGAATAAATAAAAGTTTGACACATAATTCTGACAAGTATCTCCACTGATAAGGGACGACGACGAACGACGACCCTAACCCTCCCCTTTGTTGTTGTACCATGTTTTGTATGACAAATTTTTGCTGCGAACAGAATACCAACTGTGGCATATCTTCAGCAAGTCTTCGCTGATGCGGCGTCAACAAGATTGATTTTTGTCCCGGTCAAATGTATTCTGATATTTGCGATAAATTACAGAAATTATTCGATATCAAATTTCGTTTTAGAAAAACGTTTGTGAGCAGATTTCACTTGTGGACGTTCGATGTCAAAGTGTTGGTGTTTGTTGAGGGGGAGACCGGATGTTGATATGGTTGTAGGAGGGATAGGCGAATTTCAAAAGAGGTACGAGAGGTACGAGGCTACGGCGAACATTCCAATTGTTAACTGCACGCACAATAATACCCTTTGCCCAGAATTTTCTAGTTACTATATGGAAACGAGATCGCAAGTTTATTTGTAGATAACTTAATACTTTCATACTGTCGTCTTGTTGATTAAACTCACGATGGCAAAGAGTGGGAAGGAAGCTGAGCTCTACTCATGGCTTGATCAAATCCCTTTCTCAAGGCCACGAAAAAACATTCCTCGAGATTTTTCAGATGGAGGTGTGTTTATTAAGGTGTTAAATTTCAATTCCACGAAAATTAATGAGAAACTGAGTTGTTTTCTATCTCATTTAGTGTTGATGGCAGAGATGGTGAAATTTTTCTATCCCAAAATGGTTGAACTCCACAATTACACACCAGCCAATTGTTTCATCCATAAAATGAACAATTGGTATACTCTCAGTCGAAAGGTAAAAAAATAAGCCTCAATAACTGACCCGTAAGTGATTGGCACTTAAACTTTGCCCTCTGATTTCAAATTATTTTAGGTCCTTTCTAAATTGGGAATAAAAATAAGCAAAGAGCAGATTGAGCAAATTGCATCAGCAACGCCCAATGGAATAACATCTGTACTCTCAGCTCTGCGAGAAAAAGTTGTGACAGCTCAAGAAAAACGTGAAGAGGAATGCAAACAGCTGCAGCGAAGCAATCAACCTCAAAATATCCTGTGTTTTGTTCAGGACAAGAAACAAGCAGGTATAAGAGATGAAAAGGGATATTTTCATGGAATACTTAATAGGAAGAACATAACAGAACATTTGAAGTTAAATGATGTTCTTTGCACTGTTCCTCAAATCACAAAAATACCCGAGGTAAATTAAACTTTTTCATTTTCTAATCAGATGAACTTGGTTCTCTACTCTAGAGGGTGTGTTCGGGATACCAATGGCATGTGAGGCACCTACTGGGCAGCAATTAATTGTATCCATGGAAAATATGGTACCCCAAAGATTACTTGATGAGAAGCTGAGTGAAATAGCTGAGAAAGATGATGCAATTAATATCCTTATGCAGAAAGTGTCTCACTTGGACACACTTCTCCAACTAAAAGACCAAAGGATTAAGGATTTAACTCAGCAGTTACAATATTTGCAAGAAAGAGGGAAGGAAGGATTTCACTTAAATACTTGAATTAGATGCTTCAAGTGGAATTGTGTTGGAATTACTGTAAAAGAGAAGGACGGTTTGTAGACAAGGAACATGAAGGTGGATTTTGTCTTGAAGGGCTCGATTCACCTTTGTAAGTATAAAAATATACAATTTTTCTGTGCCTTCAGAAGTATATTGACTAAGGGTTTGCATGCAATGAGTATACATACATATACAGGTTCCATACATGTGAGAGTAAATGAAGCCAGTTCATCAAAAACATTCAAATTTTAAAATATTATTTCTATTATACATGTGTTTTTGAGTGTAGCAAAATAAAACAGAAGATATCTTTTTTTATGTTTCGCAAGAAAGATAAGCACAAGTGTTGCAGAATTATGTTTGACAAATTTTCAGGACATAAGAAGCATAACACTACCAAGATGTCTAATGGAATCATTTTACACCCTAAAATTAAGTACATTTTCTTGAAGTCCAAACTGTTGTTTTGATTTCAGTTGAACCATATTTCACTTTTTAAGATACACAGTAATATTACTTTTCCATTTTAGAAAAGGAGTTCATATCTAGATAGGTAAAAACAATAAGTTGAAATGTATTGACTAATGGAAGTATGAAGCACAAAGCCTTTTACAGTACACACTTGACAAAATGTCAACTAAAACTTCTTAATGAATGTTGTAATGAAAGGCATATAAAATGTAGGACCTCTTGAGGAGAACTTTCAGCAGCAACTCCTAAAGTTTCCGCCAATTAAGTCACAATCACAGCACATATACCCCACCCAATACACTAAAATCACAGAGCAAATTAACAAACCATGACTATTCTGAGGTTCAGTACAAGGAAAAATTAAGAATGCACCACAGCTCATGGAGTGTAAAGTCTTATGTCACTCTTACATACATCTTAACATCCTAAAAAGTCTCCGGAGCACATCTCATTGAAGACCAAAACAGGACAATACTGGCAGTGCAAAATTACAGTAAGGACTTGTTTGCTAATCATTCCACAAAATTACTGATAAAATATGTTGCAATACTTAGACTTTGAGAGATAGGTAAGTTGGACAGGAAAGCAAACAAGTCTGAAAGTCCTACAATTTATATGCCCAAAACATAAAAAGTAGTGGGTCCATAGAGATTAATTTTCACACAAAATGAGGAATAAATAGTAAATTCTTGCTGACATATAGTTTGCTTTGATTCTTTTTGAAAAGGTATATGCTAACTAACTTGGCCTTCAAAACACAATTTATAATTGTAATGTGGCAAAATAAAGGATAAAATCAGTAACACTTAAGAAGTAACAGATATGATGAAACTAAAATTTTAATAAATAGTGTAAGAACAAAGAATGTAAAATAATAGGGATAAGTCAATATCTAATCATTTTCACTAAACTTGGGCTAATAATTGTCTGTTCTCTAAACAAAGTATACTTTCAATCACATGCATAATCTCATCTCAAATTATAACATAGGGCTTAATATTACTGATGTGCCATCTATTGAAAAGCTAGTCAACTTTACAAAATATTTTCTTTATGTGAGAAACAAAATGAAAATGAAATGGTAGTTTGGAAGTGTCATTTAAAGAAAGTAGAATTGAAATGCAAAAACCACTTTCCAGAGAAAAAAAATTAAATGCAGATTATGCACTTCAGTACTGGAATGATGCATTCCCTTGACTCTGGTGTGTATTTAAAATCATACATATTCCCACATTCATCTTCTTTTGTCACTTGAAGGCACACTATCACTTGATAAGCATCTCAAGTCTTCAAAACACATTGCTTCAGTCAAACACCAGAACTCCACACAAAAATATTTAGCAGAAGCTTCAGCATGTGATGACAGCATTTTATAATTTTTTCTTTCTCTCCCCACCCAACATGGAATGTCATTTCATTCAGAAGACTAATTTTTCTCCAGCTTGATTTGTTGGTGCTGCATGTAAATCTCTCCTACTGGGGAAGGTTAAATCACTGCAACAAACTGGCTTGAAAACTTGATGTCCCTTGGCAGTCAATGGTTATCAGAAGATTCTGAACGAGGAGGGTGAAGGCCTGCCCCAGGTGGTTCGCTTGGTGGTGGAGCCTGTCAACAACCAGTGAGCTAACATAAGATCAGATGATGAGTGCGTCATGGTGAACACACGCAATGCGCACCTCCTCAAACTGTTAAAATCCTTACCCCGTTATGTGGCAATGATGGCCCAGGTCCAGAGGGTGCCGACCCAACTGATGTAGCTCCCCCATTGGTGGCTGCCTGGTGCTGCACCTGCAACGGTCAACAGCCCTGCTCACTGCTCGTCAACCATTTGGTAATCATTCATGGCTCCGTTTGCAGCATACCTTTACGTCTGTACATGCTTGAATGCAAGCAGAAAACTAAAACACGTGTCATGGAGAGGATTTGTTTATGAGGTCAGCCAACTATTACTCATTACCATTAATATCAACTCCTGGACTCCAGAGGATTTCAGGAAGAACTTTGATTCATGAAAACTAGGGTAACTTATTTAACAGGTAAAGTCTTCAAAGAAGACATACTTAATTGAGTGCCAGTTACACCAATGAAAATTGCATTTGTTAAGTGGCAGCTGGTTAAATAGATAGTAAATTTTGAAGTTTGCAAATAGGAAGTCTGAGTACCAGAAATAGCACACAAAAATAATGCTGGTTATAACACACAGATTAGCTGACAAAAAAGAAAAAAAAAAAAAGAAATCTCAGGCAAGGGAATAAAATACTTCTATACCAAAATTAAGAAAGGAAATTGCACTAACACTGGCCCCACTCCCAAAAACAAAACTCATTCATTTCAGCAATATTTAAGGACCATGTCATGGATTCTTTGAACACACAGTACACAGTTTAGTGAAATTCTAATCCCCACAAAAAAACAAAAAAAAAAACGTAAGAGCTTACAAATTTTCATTAAATTACTGAAATTTTAAATTGAACTTTGACCAGAGGAATAAAACTGAGAGTGTAATGAATGAATGATTGGTGTGTCATGTCAAGAATGGAGCTAGTTCAAGAATTAATTAAATATAAGTAATGTGAAGGAAGGGGAAGTGTTAGGCACCACATAACACACAAAGGGTTTGGCACAAAAAAAGAAACAAAAACAAAATCATAAATATATTAAATGCAACTTCTTTACTTTCTTTCATTTTACATAATCTTTTTTCTTATAAACTGAAATGATGGTTTTGGTTGCATGTAACATATACCAGCTCGTAGGTTGTACTCAGAGGCGGGGTAATTAAAAAAAAAAATACATTCAAATATTTAAGAAAACATACGCTGATTGCAATGCGTGGGTATGTACTTCACACACTCATCACAACTTATTAACATACACACGCTCTTCTTCACTCAAATGTCTGCCTGATTTCCCAGTCACTTGTTTTCACTGAACCTTAGCAGCAGATGAGCGGCCCATGCTACCTACAGTTCTGCCTCTGAGCACAGGAAAAGAAGACTTAATTTTATTCACTGTCATCACAATAGAAAAAAATATTTTAAGATTGTACTCTGTTTGGTACGCCAACTGAAACAAGATAACTAAAAATAACCAAGTCTCAGCTTTGAGGGCATCTTCATAGATTTGTCTTTTCACATCGGGTAGATAAAAAAAAAAAAAGAATCACTTTTGGATTGATCAACCCATGTCTACCCTAAACAGGATCCATTCTTAATGGGTAAACTACAATTTACAGGAAACTGCTGTACTCAGTAGGCTTTTAAAAATAGACTTTTCACCGAAAGAGCTACAGCCAAGACCACACAAGTTCCAAAGAACCTGTCAACAATGAGAAACTCTCCTCACTAAACAAAAAATAAATGAGGAAAAGAACAGCATTTGACAGGCACTTGGCTTCATATGCATGTAAATTAAGAATGGATCCAATCAATTGTTTTCCTAATGTTCCCAGATAGAATGATTTAGGATTTAATACTTCACAGCATGAGTTGGAAAGCATTGTTTTTATGGGCCATGGGGAGCTGGATTGTCTGGACCACTGCCCCCACCGCCACCACCATTATTACCGCTGTCGCCAGGGCTTGAATGCCGTACCTGGTCGTGGGGGGTGGTGGAGTGAGCGGGCTGTAATGTTTGCAGACCACCGGCTGAGTAGTAGCCACCATTAATGCCATCTTGTGAGTATGGCACAGATGGGAAGTATTCCTTATTGACACAGTTGCGGAGGCACTCTGGAATTCGTCCCACAATGGCACGTCTGATTTCGCTGGCCGCCATTTCTCGTAGCTCTGAGCACGATACGTCGGAGTAAAAGGCTGCATGAGGTGTGCATATCAAATTTGGAGCGTCTTTAAGGTTGCCTGGAATAAAAATAAAATAAAACGTAAAATTTACATGACACAAAAATAAGATATATTATTTTGAACAGTAACTGAATTACCTTGGAAAGCATTATATGGCTCATTTTCATGAACATCTAGGGCAGCAGCTCGAATTCTACCTTGTTTTAAAGCAGCAGCTAAAGCATCGTCATCTACCAGACCACCTCTTGCTGTATTCACTAAGAATGCACCTGTAAAAATAAAAACGAAAAGATTAGATTTACAGTTGGTTGAGAATTACTTGCAAAGATTGAATTACATGGGTTTGGCTGTGTGAACTCACCTGGCCTCATCTGTTTAATGGCATATTCATTAATAAGATGATGGTTATGTTCATTCAAAGTACAGTGTAGCGAGACGCAATCTGACTGGAACAGCAGATCCTACGAAAGAGATGGTTATTAGATTGGTTTTTGGAAGCTAATTAAATGGACATTTAGTTAAAATAAATAATTACCGTTAAGGTGTAAAGTCTGCTGAGGCCCAATGATTTTTCTATGCCATCAGGTAGATATGGGTCATAGAAAATGACATTGAACCCAAATGCTTTCGCTCGTAGAGCAACTGCTGAACCAATGCGACCTGAAATTGTAAAATTTCCATAAGATAATGACCTTACAAAATGTGTGCATTTTAAACTGTGCAAGTTTATTTTAAAAAAACAAACTTGTTCAAAAAAGACAACACTTACCCAGGCCAATAATTCCCAAAGTGTCACCTCGTATCCTGGCACATCCTTGTGCTGCTTCTCGTACCTGTTCAGGACCAGTAAATTTCTTTCCTTCTCGCACCATGTTGGCCAGCCAGTATGTGCGACGGTAAAGATTTAGAATGAGGCACAATGTTGTATCTGCCACCTCTTCAACACCATACCCTGGTACATTGCATACTGCAATTCCCAACTCTCCTGCAGCCTAAATGAGACATTTAAGTAAAGATAAGTATGATTCAAAATGGATAACTTATGACAAAGAAAAATAGGACAAAATCTTACCTTAACATCTATGTTGTCTACTCCGCTTCCAATTCGAACAATAACTTTAAGGGCCTTGAATTTCTCCAAATCTTCTTTTGTGAGTATAATTGTGTGCCACATAAGGGCTCCAACTGCCTCATTCAAGACCTAAAAAAGTAATAATATACAGTTAGAACAAACAGTACATGAATGTGCTGTAAAAAGACATTCTTTTTTTTGAAGAAGAAATTAAATCCTGATCTTTGTGTGATTATTAACAGAAAGCTGATAAGACTATTCCTCACAAATGAACTGTTCAGCACAAATGCATATCTCATGGAATAGTTTGTAGAAAGAAAATATAGCCTAACCAAGTAAAAGTTCATACACTTGGCATTACCTTTTCGTGAATTTCCGATGTCGATTGGGCATCACAGAAAGCCACTGTTGCAACATCCTTGAGGATTGGCATCTCAATGGAACAGTCCCGTCCATCGAGAAGGGCCACAAGTGGCCTTGCTTGGATAGGTCCATTGGCAGAGATGGGGCCGCGGGAAATTTCAACTCTTTGACGTTTGGATAACATTTTCTTCTTATCCATCGATTGCCAAGCACAGATGAGAAGAGGGTGTTTTCAGCACCACAAAAAAGTATTGTCCACTACTTTTAAAATTAATAAAAAACTAGAGGGGCTGAAAAACATCAAGACCCCCCTCACTAGTCTGTTATCACTGCCGAAGTTCGGCTTTGCACTTGAGTTCACTCAGTCTTCTTTCTTCATACACTTCTTAAGTCCACTTCATGACTTGGCACCACACTTTTCCACTTCATCACGACATGGTCCTGACAGAGCCACCTGAAACAAGCAGAGAACACAAATTAGGCCCACGTGGATATCCGCATCTTACAGGCACGTCCACAGACAAGCAAAGCGAGTGATAAGACTTCCAGCTGGCGCACACAGACACACACACTGCAGTGTAAGGGATGTTGAGCCAACCCCGTCGCTAATGAAGCCTAATCGCACGAGATATTGGACACGCGAGCGAACAGATGGACAGGACAGCAGCCCCCCTTGGCATTGGCACGGCCCCCCGTAGCCACTGACTACGCCAACAATAACAGACCGGCCGGTCGCTCGGCCCGGCTCGGCCCCGCTACGCAGCCCGTACGCCGCGGGTCCCAGCGCTGCGTCAGGCCAGACGCCGCCGGTCGCCCGTACGCCCCACCCCGCGGCGGCGAGGAGGTGACGCGGCGGCCTCGCATGGAGTTCCCTCGTTTCCTCCCTACGCGGCACGGGCCAAGTGCACAGCGTGCACAGCTCGGCGCGCCGGCCTCACCGCAAGTTTATCATGCCAAGTATCAGAGGGC